GTGTAAATGCGACCCGCTACCAGATACAGGTTAGAGTATATTACCTGTAATCTGATGTTTTCGTGTATTTTAAACCATAGTCTTGTTTGTATTTTATTTGTATCTGTTAGCGATTGTGTGTTGTATATATGCTAAATTTTTCAGTCTGTTTTTTTGTACGTTTCTTCATTTCTTGCTAGCATATTTTTTTTTTATCATTATACACTTATAAGGATATGTTTATTAATATATTTGTGGAGATATGTTTGTCAGCATAATTCTGTGAATAAAATAAACATTTCTTCGTACTGTAATCACTGCACAATGAAACAGCTTTGCACCGGTCTTGTTGTTGTCACCGCTTCATGTCGTTCTCGTTTCTTCGGCATCTTTGACTTAGGTATCATTGCGATTAAATCAGATTAACACTTCTCCACAGTTGCTTTCATGTCTGGCGTGGAGTATGGCTTGAAAAATTTTGATAAAAACTATCTGTATGGTATTCTTGAGCCTTAGCGTTCTCACATTTGAATGATTTTATTTAAATAAGTGAATTCTAATACATGTAAACATCGAGAGAAAATAGTATGGTGTCGGGTGCATCAATCACTGCTGACTGATTTAGAAACTTCAGCAAATGCGGATGCAACTGAATATGGTACAGCCAAAAATCACGCATTGTTCAAATGGCATCAGTCGAATCCACGTAGTTGATGCGTTTGGGCAGTAAAGACAATCATGAAAAACTGTAGATCTGTGCATTACTCATTCGAATGCCTGACATATTTCGAAGGGAAGACGATTCGTCTCGATGAGAACAGCGAGTATAACAATTTAATGAAAAAAAGCATTATTTCGTTAAAGAAAAAAAAGAAAATAACGCAAGCAAGCAGTTAACAAAGGGAAAATTACAGGAAAAGCTGAATTCCCAAATGTCATAGGTTGTTGCAGTGCAGGATGTTCGACTTCACCGGCGGTACAACCATTCTACCATTATCCGTAATAATACTTACATATATGTTAGGGAGATAAAAGTCCTTACATATGTTTCAATTTTTTGTAGTTAGATTATTTTCCAATAAAAGATGCTAAGAATATTTTTTGCATTCTTATTTTTCGAATTTAAAAT